TTCCTCTTTACTTCGACACTGTATGGAATGAAATCATTTTAAGAAACGGTCCTTTTGTTTTTCTCTGCATTCTGGGATTCAAAATTTGTGGGAAGCAGTTCTCTATTTCTTTATATTTACACATAAATATTCAACATTTGTTGGAACTGGGGCACTTCATAAACAGAGTAAAGCAATTTAAGTTTCCTATTCGTCTACGCATTGTATATATCACCCAGATATCATCTGGTGGCTCTGCCATATATTTAAAGATTATTAATAAAATCCAAAGAAGCAATATTCTTAGTTCTCACCTGGCATCTCGGCTTTAGTCACTTTTCAACATTCGAAACGTAGCTTCCCTCTGCCTTTTCTATAAATATTTTTTATGTAGGTACCTCTGCTAATCCGCTAAAAAAGTACATACCATGATGAAAAAAATTACCCAAACTTCATAAATCCAAAGTTTTATCAAGAATCTTTAAATATGAAACTATTCTTGTAAATAAACAACCTGATAAATAAATAGTGCTTAATATTTTTGTTGTAAATACTCAAGAACAAACATGTTTAAATTCACTTTCCTCATATTTTTTTGGTTTCATTACGATTCTAATGCTCACTTTGTCATGGTGAAGACTCTTGTTGACACTAGGTATTGTTGCGGGTATGAGAGAGTGGGAGATAGAGACAATGGAGAGATAGAGAGAGAGAGATGAGGGCAAGAGAGAGAGAGAGGGGGGAGAGCGAGAGTAATAGAAAGTAAGAGAGAGAGAGAGGGTGGGGACTGCTATGCATATGTTGGTTGAAGTGATATCAGAGGATCCAGTGCAAAATAAGTAGAATAGCAATCGGTTAGATGCCAAGATGGCGCTAACGCAAATACACTAAAGACAATTCAGCAGATGGTACTTTCACCAAAAAGCGACCGACTAGCACCTTGGAACAAACACCCAAAGGAACGTAACTGAAGCTTGTTCATCTGCCAGACTGCACGCGTTTTTAATAACGAGTGGCGTGTAGCATAAGCCCGGATGGAAACACTGCCAACAGAAGCAAGATGTAATAGGTTTCAAGTTTGGCATCATAATTCAGCCTGTTTTTTCTTCTTCTTTTTTTTTCTCTCGGTCAATACTGGTGCAATTCTGTGTCTTTTTCGCAATTAACCCCGAGAGTTTTCGCCGCTGCATATCATTTCACTTGTGCTGCTAAACGACAATTTTTGGAACTTTTAGAAAGTTAATCAAACGTTGAAAGATCTTAAGGTTGTTCCTCTTAGAAGATTATCCACTGTTTAATGGCAATGTTAGCCGTTTACTTGCAAGGAAATATTTGGCATTCATTGACTAAATGCTCCGTAATTTTGGCCTTGCGCCACATGTTAGCTACGCTTAGTACTTCCCTAAATGCAATTTAAATTAACGCTAGGCTTTATTGTTTTCTGAATGGTGAGAAATCTTTCATTTGTACTGCTAAACGACAATTTTTGGAACTTTTAGCAAGGTAATCAAACGTTGAAAGATCTTAAGGTTGTTCCTCTTAGAAGATTATCCACTGTTTAATGGTAATGTTAGCCGTTTACTTGCAATGAAATATTTGGCATTCATTGACCGACTAGCCAGTAATGCCTTTGCTTGAACATCTTTCTCTGAAACCAATCCTTCTCAAGTCTAGAATCCGTTTATCACTCTTTTCACTATTGATGGGAGTTTCCTTCTAAACTTTACCTTTGAATTGGTGTGGAATGTTAACGGCTTGAGTGTGTCATTATTTTCTCTTCGATGTGTCATCCATTTTAGTTGTTGCTCCTGTTGGTAATCCTGAAGTGAAGTGGTTTTTATTATTTGGTAAAGTTCTTTGTTTTGTCTAAATCCTCATGCTTTACTTACACAAAGCCTTTTTTTTTCAGCATTGATCTTAGGAAGCGGTTGTATACAGCTGACAGGTTAGATATTTATGACTTGAATTGGCGATATGGATGGTATCCATATGAAACTATCGATCTGACGAGGCTATTTAAGAACATGACTTCGAGTTTTCTGGTTGATCTTTTGGCTTTGTAGCAATTGGCGGCTTTGAGCGAAACTACCTCTAACACAACCTATTTTATGTTCAATTTATTTGAATTTATAATAGTTAAATAATAATTATAAATATAAATGTATTTCATTTACTATGATCCAGTCACCGAGGTATCTGAAGTGTTTAGTGTTTACTAATTCCACATCCTCAATTTTTAAGATGGATTCAATTTAGGTGTTATCATTCCAATTCCAGATTAATAGTACCAATTATTTTCCTAAATGCTCCGTAATTTTGGCCTTGTGCCACATGTTACCTACGCTAAGTACTTCCCTAAATGCAATTCAAATTAACGCTAGGCTTTATTGTTTTCTGAATGGTGAGAATTTCTTTCAAGTGTTAAAATTGTTATACCAATTTTCTTAAAGTCGTTTAAACGTGTTTTTTTTTGCTTTTGTTTTTAGAAAGATGTGATAAATAACGTGTTCTTGCTGAAAAGCTTATACTAAGAGCAGATAATCTCATCTTCTGAGATTGAATGCAGTAACAACTTCCTACTTTGCCTCCTTGTGTCAGTCTTTGTGAAAATCATGCAATACAATTTGCTGTGATCCATGATGTACTATAAGCCGACGAAAAATATCACTAAAACAGAGCAGCCATTTTGAAAAATTGCTGTAATTGAAGCTCGATACTATCTGTTTCAGAATGTTCAGTATTCTTGCGTTATATTTTTATTTTTGCTATCCCCTTTTTTTTAACTGAATGTTCTCTAGAAATTATTTATTTCTGTAAAACGAATATATTTCAAGTCTTTTCTCTTGCTATGTTAGCTTGTTAACTTGTTCTTGCTTTCGTTTGCCTTTTGGGCTCCAGAAGGTCGTTTCTTATCTGATATAGCCTGCTGGAGAAGATAAGAAAGAAGTAGATATTCCAAAGAATTTGGAGAAAAAAAACAAAAAAAAAAACGAAATTAGATTTCCGTCAGTCTATTATTTATCTCTGTCCAGCAAATCGTTTCCGCCAGCGAAAATAATACTTAAAAATAAGACATCTTCTTCCTACTGAGAAACAGAAGTTATTTATATTTTCCAACGGTTTCTTTTTATTCTCCATTATGTTATGGTCACCTTAAAAATGGGTACAATGTCTAAAAGTCGGATATAACTGACAATCCGCTTTTAATGACTGTAACGTGTTAAATTATGTGCGTAAAATCTTTGCAAACTATAGATTCTTAATCAACAGGATTTTATCAAATACCGTATCCAACATTTTGCAATAGTTTACCAATAAAAAGAATTGGAGTTATTTATCAATTTACTGAAAGAAATAATGACAATGAATTTGATCAATTTTGCAATGATCTGAAGGTAGGAGCCATTTTCGATGTTTTTGAGCTATTCAAAAAAAAAAAAAAATCCAAAACACACACAAATTTAAGCTACAGCTAACCACAAAAGAATCTTTGGTTAACTAATTCGTTTTATACAATTTATCAACCATTTGAAGGTTATTTAACGCCAGAAAAATATTTTCTGATTGCAAGACATTTTTTTTGCTATTATTATGAAATGAGATTAAAAATGTTTGTAGGTGAAATTTAGTTCCATTTCGCTTGAATGGTAAGTCTCCTCAAGACGTTGATGATCACGATTCTTCAAAGTTTCCTTTTCTTTAATAAAGGCGAATTATTCCCAGAATTATTTTCAGAAGACCAAATTATTATTATTATACTGATGAGGTGGAATCAAACATAGATCAAATAAGGATCAGAATTATTTTCGTGGCGATAATCATTTAGTGACACGTCTTATTACTTAACCCATTGCTGCGGGAGATGAGGTAGATTCATGCCTAATCAAAATTGATGAACAAACAAGAAATTATCATATGTGTATAAATTAGGTTGAGGAATCGGTGGGCCGAGTTCGAATTCCAGTCGAATCCATTACATTCATTTACGTGCTAATACTCTTGGGGAAGGTATGAATCCTATTCTTCTCCCCGCAGCTATGGGTAAATAGCAGAACACACCGGGTTCTATAGCTTTGGATAGCAACTGGTCTACCACAAAAAGAAATGGCAACTTACTGCGGGAAAAAATCTACCTTGTCAGTCATGTATCGAAAGATACATGATCGTCTAAGCGTGTATCACACATAGCACATAACTCACTGATATATATATATATATATATATATATATATATATATATATATATATATATATATATTATATTATGAAATGGGTTAAGACTGACAATTATTTAATATATTTGAAGTTGAGACTGCATATATGAAACGGTATTAGAATATACTGGAGGCACGGTGGAGTAATGGATAACGGCTCGGATTAAGGAATCAGAAAAATGAGGTCGAATTCCAGTCGGATCCTCTACATTCACTTATGTGCTAATACACTTGGGAAAGGCATGAATCATCTTCTACCACAGAAAGAAATGGCAACCTACTGCCTCGTCAGTCATGTATCGAAAGATACATGATCGCCTAAGCGAGTATCACGTATGGCACATAACTGACTGAACTGATAAATTGGGGGATCGATACAATTATTAAATAAACGTATCCCTCATTTTTTGACCATTGTAGTTTCCATACATTTATATTCCAGAGAATGTAAATAAGTCATGGCTGTGCAGCTAATCAGTAAATATGTAAATAAGAATAATGTAAATAAGACATGGCTGTGCAACTAATCATTATCTGACTGATTCGTTTCTTACGGCTTATCAACCCTTTGCAGGTTATTTAAAGCCAGAAATTTTTAGATTGTAAGAATTTTGTGGAGTTAATACTGATTTTGTGATACGGATTTTACTAATTAACCCATAACTGGGGTGGCAGAAACGGTGGATTCATAACTTTCTTAATGGTATTTGCACGTAAGTGAATATAACTAACCCAAGTGGAACTGGAACTCGGCTCTGCGATTAACAATTCCTAGCTATTATCTATTACACCACCCGCACATCTAAGCTTACAGCTCCTGGTATTCCTAAGCGGTCACCCATCTGGGCACTGACCAAACTCGACGTTGCTTAGCTTCGGTGATTGTACGGGAACCGGTGTTTCAATGTATTATGACCGTAAGCCTAACTCCAAAATAAATAAATTACTACCTCTGTTGCTAGGTGGGCACCTCGACGTGGTGGAATGTTTATCAAGCGTGTATCGTTAGATCCGTTACAACTGAGTAGTGAGTTCGATCCTCACTGGGTACCCAATACTTTTGGCCTTGTGTACCACATCTAAGCGACGCTTAGAAAATCACTACTATTTGCTAGGTACCTCAAACGGAGTAATGGAAATAGCACCTCAATCAACTAAGTAAATTTCAGAATGGTAATAAGGGAAAAGAAAAAATATTGAATTAGACATTTAAGATATCTTATATGAAAAAAGAACTATGAAATGTGATGAAAAGTGTTTATTTTAGCTTAGTCACTTTGCTACTTTGCAAGGGTGGGGTGAAGATTAAAATTAAAATGTGTACACACATACACATACACATGTATATATATATTAAGTCATGTCTCATTAAATAATTTAGACAAGTTTTGTGTACTTATTTTTAATAGTATTCTCTCGTAATTACGGTCGAGTTACTTAGTATCCTTATATATTTACTAAATTCTATGTCTGTCACACTATTTACATTATTCGGACTATTGACCTCATCTTTGTCGCCATATTTATTACAACGTTTCGGATGTTGTACGCTCCGGCCTTCTTCAGGTGATTGTAATTTTTTTCTTTTCTCTTAAATTTTAGACATTACAATAACAGAAAAAACAAGACCCTGATGAGGACATTGTGCTAATATCGAAAGTACTCGAAATAAAATATATATGTACCAACATGGTATTTTTTTTTTCTTTTAATAAGGATACTGAGAAAGTTGTCCGTAATTAAACTTGTCTAAATTATTTAATGGGAAACATGCTATATATATATATATATATATATATATATATATATATATATATATATATATAGATAGAGAGAGAGAGAGAGAGAGAGAGAGAAAAAGACGCGAACACTGAAGTCAACACTCAAAGACGTCAGATTGTTTCATGCTAAATACTATCATTGGCCTGACAATTGAGTTTAGCATGAAACACTCTGTCCCACTGAGCGTTGACTTCAATGATCGCTTTTTGTATTTACATACGCTCTATCACTGATATTCAGCTCTTTATCCTATAAATATAGCATGCCTTAAAACTATATATATATATATATATATATATATATAGTCATCCACAGACAGACTGTTCCGCTGTATCACAGCTCATCAGTGTGGCTAGACATCCGGTTGCCTCTAGCTAGGATTGAAACCCGATTGAATTAGCGTCAGTCAGGGATTCTACCACTAAGCCGTTGGCGCACAGCATGGATGAAGGTGAATTCAAGCGTATTTATTTTTTTAGATAAACACACAGTGACTGAGAGAACTCGATTCGATTTAACTAAGAGTCTTGCATTATTAGCCATAATAGTCACTTTTTACAAACCCACATTTCCTCCCCAGAGAGCTCAACTGTAATAAATTTTTCAGGTGCATACATATTGTCATCCACAGACTGTTTCGCTGTAGGTATGAAGGTGAATTCAAGCGTATTTATATTTTAGATAAACACACACACACACATATATATATATATATATATATATATATATATATATATATATATATATATATATATATATATATATGAATATTGGTAGTACTAAGTACTAAGAATGGTAGAAAAATGCGTACGGAATTAGTTTATTATTTATTAATTTAGTTTATTATCTCTTATATAAATGTGTTTAGAATGTAATTACGTAATGCACCCATATGAATGATGAGTCAACCAACCAAGCTAGAACTATGGTTCTATTGTCGGAACCTAAGTCTGAGATTATTTGACCACTTTTTTTATTCGACAGTCTTATTTATAGTCTTTTCACTTGGGAATTTGGAATTCTCCTGCGTCATCGCTTGAGAACTAAACAAAATGGGCTTTGCATATTAACAGAAAACAAAATTATTAAATTTTGTGATTATCAGAAAAACGAGAAACCCGTGACAACAACAAGACGAGGATTCTATCAACAAATGTTCTTGCTTTGTGCCTCGTGAAATATGAAAGGTGTTTTCCATTACGATCTAAGGGAACAGGGAAGGACCATCATTGTAGATGTTTATTGTAAGCAATTTGATCGGGTAAATGGTGTAGTATTCTTCAGTAGTATGAGGCAACAAGTAAGGATCAAACTCATTATTTAATTGTAATTGATTTAGCGAGATAAAATTTATAGCATCAATCCACATCGATTTGCCCAACTGAAGAAAGAATAAGATTACTAAGGAGTAGTGTTTTATTTTTTGTTTTTTGCTTAGTATTGGGTTTCCGGTTCCTTCTAAAGTCTTCTCAGTCTCTTTCATTCCCATATATATGCATATATATATACGAGTGTCGTTCAAAAAGTTCGAAGCCCATCCAGAAGGATATGGAGAAACAAGACAGTATTTCATTATTTTTCAATAAAGACACCCCTCTTGGTCCAACGATCCTTAAGCATTGCAATTACGTCATGGAAGAAGGTGGAGTCACGGTCCTCCAAAACCTCCTCTACAGCATATAAGATCGCATCATTGATTTCAAAATGGCAGTCACGCAAGTGGGATTTGAGTTTGGAAAATAGGAAGAACTCAGATGGAGTTAAGTCTGACGAGAGAGGGCGATGGGGTAGCAATTCAGAGCCACAATTGGGTGATTCAGCTACTCAACCTGATCAGTTTGGAGCAAGAGCACATGAACCCTCAGGTTCACCCTGCATTTCGACTTGGTTGCTTCCTTCAGTTGTCTTAATTCTGATAGTACTGTCCATTTATAGACTTTCCTGTTCCAAGAAGTCTATCATGATTATGTCTTCAGAATTAAAAAGAAAAAAAAAAGGAAAAAAGAAAAAAAAAAGAAGCTATTAGCTTGTTAACAGACGCTACCTGCTTGAACAGCTTCGGGGTTGGAGCGTTACAAGTTTCCTCAGAATCTTTGATTCTGGTTCAAAGATGTGATTCCAGGTTTCATCTTGAGTAAGTAATCTGCGCTGTAAATATTAGGTTCAGTCTGGAGGTGAGTCAAAAATGTCCTGGAAATGACGAGACGACCATCTTCAGCTATGATGTCAGCATTCTTGGGACCCATGTTGAAGACACTTTGCTCATCCCCAAAACCTCATTTAAAACACTATGGAGCGAACGAGAAGTAATGCAGAGAGAGAGAGAGAGAGAGAGGTGGGGGAGAGGGGGGAGAGAGAGGGGAGAGAGAGAGGGGGAGAGAGAGAGAGCGCTATTTGCTGGGCAGTAAGGCGTCTTTCATCCAAATCCATATGTTGAATGGCATCAGGTTGTTCATAACTAGTTGACGTTTTGGGACGACCTGCCTGAGAAGCATCTGTGCTGTTTTCGCCGCATTTGAATTGTATAGGAAGAGGAGACCTCACCAACATTTTGTACAATGTATTCATGTCCTTTGGTGTCATGCCTTTGTTTTGCAGATACTTTATGACTTCTTGGTCCTCACTTTTCTTCATTTTTAGATTTGCCGATCACCTCTCACATTTGTGAGGTTTCCACCCGCACAGAAATTAAGACAGGAATCCGAATGAGTTGTTCTAGTTTTATAAGAAAATTAATGTCCAGTTATGGATCTTCTTTCTAGGGGAGTCTTAGAACCTTTTTAAACGACCTTCGTATAATATAATTTTTTATGTTTTTACCTATAATCCTTAAAGTGTCTAAAAACACAGGTGCGATATCTGGAATAGAGTTGTTCAGGAAAATATAAAATATCACGTCATCCCATAAGTTCTGTCCGAATTTTAAATAAAGAAAACAAGTGACCAAATGTTACATTTTATTACAGATTCAATCAACAATGTATTTTCCCTGATTATCTATAACTTCTTTCCATCTATTAACAAGTTTACTGATTCCATTACTGTAAAATTCTTTTGGCTTTGATCTGAAGAACTCACAAATGTCAGTTTTAACCTCTTCCTGTGTTACAAAAGCTGTTTCTTCCAAATGACTCTGTAAGCTACGAAACAAATGGTAGTCTGAAGGAGCAAGATCGGGAGAATAAAGTGGATGAGGAATTTTCTCCCAACCAAGTTCTTCGATCTTTTGTGACGTGATTCTTGCTGTGTGGCGTCGCGCATTATCCTGATTAAACATCACCTCTCTTCGATTCACGGGAGCAGGTCTTTTTTTCCTCAAAGCTTGGTTCAAACCCTCTAATTGCTGACAGTATATTTGAGCATTAATTGTTGCATTAGGTGGTAAGAATTCAAAGTGGATTATTCCTTGTCGATCCCACCAGATTGAAAGAAGAACCTTTTGCCCATGAAGTCCCCTTCTCGGCTGTGGCTGGGGTCCTTCACCTTTACCAAGCCACTGTCTACGACGCTTAACATGTCGATAAAAGATCCATTTTTCGTCACTAGTCAGAAGTCTATCCAAAAAAGGTGAAACAAGTTGGCGAGAATGGAGAGAAGAGCAGATGTCAACTCGGGATTTGAGGTTGTTTTCAGACAATTCATGAGAAGCCGATTTTCCAAGTTTAGGAACTTTTCCAAGTTGTTGAAGATGACGATGAACAGTTGTATGGTTTGAATTGAGAACCACTGCCAATTCCTCAACTGATAAAGCAGGATTTTCTTCAAGGACTGCTTCAAGAAGCTTTTCATCAAACTCAACTGGACGTCCGATTAGATCTTCATCTTCAAGTGTGAAATCTGAACGTCTGAATTTTGCAAACCATCTTCTGCAAGTTCTTTCATTCACACATTCCTCTCCATAAACTGAGTGAATGTTTCTAGCCGCCTCGATTGCTGAGTTTCCTTTCTTGAACTCATAAAGCATTATGTGCCTCAAATGATTCTTGGGCACTTCCATATTAGCAGGGTTTTAATCAAACAAAATTTAATTTTATTATTCTCTGAAATAAAATTTTTGACCAGTTTAAATGCATCTAAACATAAAAATAATGTTCAGCTTCATTAGAGATTATAAGATATTCTTTAAATTTCGTTCATTT